CGCGGTGGCGTGAACGCGCATTGCACTTTAAGTGCGTTCACAAAACTGCACAGATTTGCTCCTCGCGCCCCCAGAGTGACTTTTTCCGTAGGCGATAGCCGAGCCGAGAGATTTGTACAAGTGATTGTATAACGATCTAGCCTAACATTTTGGACTTCTTCCGATTATATAATAACATTGCTTTGCTTTTTGGTTATCTTCCAGTATATTGACAAATTGAGACTTTGATATATCTCTCGGTTATCCTAAACGTAGGTTTTGTATTTGGTGTGTGTTTGGAAAGTAGCGCGTGGCCATTTGGAATAAAACTTGTTACTTTTGTACTTTGACCTTTTTCTGTGTTTCCTGAGACAGAACTTATCTTCACAGATTACAGTTGGGTCGTATAGCAGATCTTTATAATATTTTATCTAGTCACCTTTCTTTATTAGGCCCTCTAGTCGCCTATAGTAATTTCATCGCAGTGAGACACGTGCCGCTTACAGAAGGATACGATTTTTGTTCGCGGTCATGAAAACTTTTGTAATGTAAGATTTGACCTTATGTTTCGTTTCTAAGAAGACGAAATAGTGTGTTTTAATGTATGGACGCAAATAATAGACATGTAGTTCTTTGAAATGCGCTACGTACGCCTTCTAAAATTGCAATTATACATGAACATACGTTAGTTGTAAACAGAAATGGCAACTGGTGGTAATACGGGATATACAAAATACCATCGTCCCATATTGCAACCACATCTTTGTCCACAGGTTCCTAAGACGTTCGCTTTGTTATGCCTAGAGTGAAGCTAGAGCCTAATCTGTAAGGGAAAGTGAAGAAATGGAATGAAGCAGACATGGATAATGCTGTCAATACTATTAGAGAAAAACGATAAAGGTATGAGAAACTGCAAAGCATTCTGCTGTGCCAAAATCTACTCCTTGTACTCTTAAGTTCGCGAACAGACGAATCGACTACAGACGTGTCAAAGACCCTGGGAAGAAAAGCTATTATACCTCCGAAGTTAGCAGAAGAATGAGTGAAATATTTGTTTACAATGGAGAGCAAATTTTATGGTTTAACGAGAAATGATGTCCGGCGAATGGCGTACCAATTAGCGGAAAAAGCAGATAAAACTTCCTTTGGTGGATGGCATGGCCGGTAGAGCTTGGTTTGACAATTTTATGAACAGGTTCAATGGCCAACTGACGATAAGAACACAGTGTGTAATATTCATCGCTTGGGCTAAGGGTTTCTATAAGGGAAATGTAAAACTTAATGAAGTGTACTACTGATTGTCGATGGACATTTTTTCCACACACGAAACCTCGACGTCATCCTTATGGTATGAGATTAGTTTGGGATGAGAGAATCATGTCATCCTTCTATGTTTTCCTCCTCTTACTTCGCACAAGTTGCAACCTCTTGATAATTTTTTTATGGGGCCACTAAAAGCTCACTTTAGTGAAGAGGTTCGTATCGCCAATCCAGCGTATGACATCGCTGAATGTTTGATAGAGCTTACTTGAAAGTGATAACATGGGAAATCGCCGTGAATGGATTCCGAGGTACTGACATCTTCCCAGTAGACATACTTGTGTTCAATGAAGACAATTTCATCGTATCGCGAATTGAAGCTAAGAAGGCATTTGCTACGGACGATGACGAAATCGATGATGTCCAATTAAGGGAAGAAGTAACAAAAAACTACGTGGGTACTCAAGATATATTTAGAGCCAGAACCCAAAAAGAAGACCAGTCAAGTTCGCAAAGTTGTATTTGCCGCAATTTTGACAAACTCGTCTTAAAAAAATGCTTTGGAGTTATCTCTTCGAACGCGCGAAGAGAAGACCAATTCAGAGAATCGGAAGAAGAGAAAAACAGTCTATTGCAGGGCCCAGCAGAAACCCACTAAAAGGACCGCAGAAGAAGAGCTTAGTAGCAAAGAGAAAGTTGATTGTCAATGATGAAACTGATGATCACCAATCAATTTCTTCAGGTGACTGTAATTTATCGGGGCCTTTTGGCGTACAGGCTCAAGTTGACGATAATGTTCTGCTGTGAGAAGTTCAGTGATTCAAAGGCTGGAGAATTTTGGGTTGAATGTGTAAACTGTAGGAAATGGGCTCACGAAGGCCATCTTTTGGATTAGAGAAAGACTGTAATGTGTGTGATATCTGTTCTTAATATATTCTTTACGTTGTACTTTGTATTTTATTTCGCTTGTCAATAAATTGTTTTTGAGAATGTTGTATTCTGTCCCATTTTACCACCCCTTTTTGCAGAACTCAATTTTGCACTACTTCTGCTTTGAAGGGCATATTACTGTAATGGATCATATTTACAGTTTCATATTTCACACATACAAAGAAAGAAATTGCAGTGTTGAGTTATGGCTTTCCCCGATTTGTTGTCTCCATTGTGTCCAGTTTACAGTAAGTAATAAAATACCGTACCGTAGTATCAACTTCTGTGAAATTAGGGATGTGATACTTTAACGTTGCTTGGACACCATACAAGAAACTGTGAGGCTATGCTAGACGAGGCTTGTCAATGGCGAATGATAATATTCACCTTTCCAGAGTCTTAACAAAACATAACCTAATCAATATCATAACCTATATAATTTAGATTATGTTTTGTTTTAGTTCGTTACTATGTGTTCTCTTTGAAATAATCGGGCAATAGAAGTCTGTTTACATGTCATAAACAATAACAACACGTCAAAAATGTGTTTTTAGGCCTTGATATTTTCAACATTTTCCGAGGGACTCCCCGGCCATCTACGCCTTATTTATTAACCCATACTCTCATTAATTTTGTGCTAGGGATGCCGATGGCTCACGGTCATTAAATGACTTCTTTATATTTTAAATAATTAGATATTTTGAAGACATTTAATATTCAGATTCTGCTATTTCATTTGTAAAGTTCATCCATCGAACATTCTTCTCCACAGACAAGACTATGTGAAGTCAATTTTCTGAGTTTTATTTATTTCCTTTTCTTATCGGTAATGCACAAATTATTAATTTTCAAGATATTGCACTGACTCGATTTTTTCGATTCTCTCATGAAATGAACGAATCTAGCCAACGAGCTGTGTGATGTGTATGAATCGTGGGAATCGACCAATAGGTAGGTTAGTAGACAACAAAAGGTTAAAGCGTTTATAAGGAGGCTTGTGTGCGGCTAATGTGCTGCCTATGTGTTGCAGTTTGAAGAGGTTTCAACGCAGTTTGCGGGACAATTCAAGTTTTTGCAAGTTGTCGAGGTGGTTTTCGTTTCTTCATGTTTTAGGATAAGGTAAGGTCAGTTCACACATTGAACATCGAAGAAGAGTGCAATTCTCACCGGGTTCCTCTATGCTTTCGTGTGCTAAACAGGTCGTGTCTTTTGTACTAGCATTATTTTCAGAAATGTGAAGAGTGAAGTTTTATTACTTTTGTGTCGTGTTCGAAGTTACCTTTTAAACGCGGTTCGGCGGTGTAGTTGTTTAAACGGTGAAAGTCATGAAAATGGTATTCTGTGAAGATTGTAGGGAACTCAGTTGTGTTTCTGCATTTCCAATCTGGAATGCTGCAATGTGCCAGTACGATGTGGAGTTATTGCGTGTAGAACAAGGTAAGATTGTGTTCATCAGGTAAATGATGGGGGAGACGTGTCAGAAAAACACACCAGTAATTTAATTGAGCCTTGTTTTGGAAAGGGGACAAGAGCACGAGTGCCTGGTAAATTATGAATCCCATGTAAGACAATCGGCTGCGCTGACCATTATATAAATCTATTTCACAATTTAATTTTATACTTTGTTTCTACAGGACGGTGTGCGTTCTACAATGGATTCAGACAGTTCGTTAGATGGAGAATTTGAAACCAAGCATGAAATTGCCGTTAAGCTAAGAAGAAATTCAGATGATAGGGTTCCTCAGAATGAAGAATTTGAAAGTGACGATGGTTCTGAACATTCTTCTGCAGAATCCAGTCAGATTCAGTCTCCTCCACCAGAAGAAAGAGGGGAACTATCGCCACAGTCTAATGATGGTGAATTATCTGATAGTACAAATGACGATGCACAGAGTGTGTCATCTGATTATTCTAAAAGATCTGATGCAGATGAAACTGTTGCTGCCCCCTCTGTTGATGTTGATGTTGATGCTGAAGCTACTGCTGTTGCTAATGAAGAGGAGGAGGAGGAGGATGATGATGATGATGATGATGACGTTGATGATGATGCCAATGCCAATGTTGATGCCAGTACTGAAATTGATACTTATGATGATGGCGATGGTGATGGTGATGCTGATTCTGCTGATGCTACTCCTAATACCCAGGAAGAAAACACTGAAGATGTTAATGATGTTCCTTGCAGTAAAGAGAGTAGCTGTCCTCCAGATGCAGTGGAAGAAAGATTGCCAGCCCCATCGGTGAGAAAGGATGAAATAACTGGTCATGGTGAAGATTTGTCAGATGTGTCCGATTTAGATAGTAATGATGGGCAGGGTAGTTTAGATGCTGTTTCTGATGATGAGAGAACTAAAGAAGATCAAAGTGATTCAGTTCATAAACTTGGTAAGAGGAAAGAAAGTGAACCTGTTGAAGAAATGGAGCAGTTAGATTTTGAAGCAGAAGAGCAGCAAGATAAAGAAGAAAAAGAAGAGGGTGAATGTGAAGGAAAGGATGAAAAGAGTGATGATGATGGTGAACTGAAAGGAGATGAGTTGGAGGAAGGAGAATTGACTGATGAAGATGAAAATAGGCCAGAGGAAACTGAACCTCGCCCTGTGTGCCGGTTCTATAATAGGGGCCAGTGTACATGGGGATCAAGTTGTAGGTAAGTTTAATTTGTGATCAGGCGTTTGCTACTCATGATTAGTACAGCCACTGATGCAAGTATTGCTTCAAGATACTCTTCAAACAATATACATAATTTGTTTTTTTACTGTTGTCTCAGCTCAGGATTAAGTCTTAACATCATTTGAGTGAGAGCAGTATTTTAAAGTGTTGCTAAAAAGTTCTATTATGGAATATGTTAATTAAGGTTTCAAAATTGTTTTATATTTTATACCATATAAAAGAACATTAGATAAGTCTTATATCTGAATTGAGGCACACATTAATGTTATTTTGGAACATGGTCCCATGTACCAGTTTAATTTTAGGTTTCATTTTGTGATAACTTAACATTTCAGCTAGTATGTTTGGCTGGTTTATTGTATTTTGAATTAATAATCCCAATGATTTAAGAAGGGGATTGGACATTATTTTGTCTGTTTTGGCTGTAATTCGTTTTTTGTAATTTTATTCAAATATCAAATGAAATTCACCCATATTTTGTGTGTTGCTTATTAGGTTATTATTCCCAATTCACAGAAGTTCTTCATATTACACAATGCAATGATAATATTGTATAGAATTCTCAGTGGGTCATATTTCTTCTAGTGAAGGATTCAAACCTTCTTGAAATGATAAAAGTAATATTCTATTTATCAAATGATACCACACTTTCACATGGAAGCTATGGAAGCATTATTATTTTCTTTGAGTTATAATTCTACTGACCTCGAATTTTTATTTTTAGCCTGTCACTGACTTAAAAATGTAATATGAGGTGTGGAATTTAATTGGTGAATAATTTCATAATTTTTAGGAATTCTCAAGTAGTTGTGAAACAAATAAATAGCTAAATATTCACTTCAGTCCACTTTTCCCATAAAGTAATTAATACAAGAGAAGTAACTTCACAGGATTGATTTAATACTTTGGATTCTTTTATACTCATTGACATTTTATTTCTGTATTTTACTTCTTAATTTGTTTTCTTTTCTATTCATGCTCTTTTTTTATATTTTTGCAGATTTGTTCATCCAGGTGTTACTGATAAAGGGAACTATACCATGTTTGATATGGTGAGACCTCTTGTTCCTGTCAATGGGCCACCTGTATATCCACCTATGGATTATCGAGTACCATATGAAAAGCCAGCTGCGGTAAGTTAATGTATTGTATGTTGTTTTAAATTGTTGTGTGCTTATGAACTTCATAACTTATGTAGTGTTTTACTAGTTGGTCAATGTCTTGGCAAATATTCTACAAATATTAATTACCAATTATATTAATCAATGGTATTTTGCTTTTCTCCTGTTATGTTTGCATGTGCATTTGTGTGTACATGTATAGTGGAGGTGTGAGAACATTTGTATGTGTGGGTGTAATGATTAATAGTAGTAATTATTCCAACATAATGTTTAAAGAACATTCAATTACAAATTTCTGAAAAATATAATAATATCTATTACTGACAAATTAGTTAAGATGTATTTTTAGTCTACTTTTAAACTATCAATAAAAAAATAATGTTTCTAATTCCTATTGCCTTACTGAACATAATAATTTAAAAGTTCAGATGCAAAGATAGAGAAGCCTTTTTCATTGTTTAGAGGTCCAAGTATTCACCAGTTTTCTTTTTCCAGTAATGATTTTACTTGCTTTACTTGATTTGAGAATTTTCTTGAAATTTCTTAAGAAAGTTCAGCAATTTTACAGTAATTTTGGAATGTACCTGCAGATAGGTTTACAAATAGACAGTTCCAATCTCCTTTACTCATCATCAATCTTTTTTCTTGCAATACATTTCTAATTAGTGAAAAATTAAATATGCATGGTTTGAGGATTGATATTAAAATTTGTAACTGTGCACACAAAATGGGCAGAGATTTCTTGTATACCCTGACTTCTTGCACGAGGTTTGTATGTGGTCTTAAATTTTCCACATTATTTCAACTGTGTACAGATTGAATGAAAAATATTTTGTTCAGTAACAAAAAGTAATTTTTATGTTGATTAAGACTGCTTTTGATTATTTCTCTTGGGTGGCACAAAGAGAGTCAGTTATTTTAGATTGAACTATTGAAAATAAACTAAGAATAATTGGGAAGGAAATGAAGAATTGATTTTACGAAAGAGTTCAAAGGATTGTTTTCAATTTGAATATGAGACTGATTATTCAACCTACACTCGGTGTTGGCTTTAGATTCAGAAAATAATATATTATTGTTAATAAGGGTGCCCTGAAAACAGAATTTGTTAAAATAAATTGATCTGCCCTTAAGCAGGAGTATTTTGCAGCTATTGCAATAGATAAAATAAAATTGTGTATTAAAGGATACATAAGTGAATGATTGCATGAATCTCACAATTAGTAGTAATTTATTGCAAAATACTAACATTATATATTATTTTGGAATATTTAGTATTCGTATCATGAGATTCAAGTACTAGTTCATTGGCAGGAGTGATCATTTTTGACCAATCTTACATCCCTTCGAGATTCTGAACTACCTGAATATTACTGTGAAATGTTTCAAAAAAGGAATGAGAGGACCCTCGACTGAAAGGGAAAAAATTGTATTTAAAATATTTTTATAGTATACATCAATGAAATTCTGTGAAATTGTAAGTAAATGCTTTATTTCCTTTTGGAATTTATTAATGAAAAGTATGGTAAAAACAGGAACACCTGCATCAGCTACGAAGCATCATAATTAAAAGAAAAATAGGAAAATGTCACTTTGACAAGTCAGAAAGGTCTAAAATTTAATGCTAAGAAGCTGAAAGTGTGCAAAAAAGATATCACAATTACAATGCTTTCTTTCGACGAACTATTTCGAAGTTCTAGCAAATGCGCGTTTGTTGAGAAATCACTGTAGAACATCTTCCAGCCTTCTGCTCCCATGCTGCGCAAGGCGAAAATTGTTTGGGGCATTCCAAAGCACTGATCTCAGACGCTGTAGAGCGTATTCAGCCTTCCACTCCCATGCGGCGCTAGGCGAACATTGGTTTGGGCATTCCAAAGCACTGGTTTCGGATCCTATAGAACATCACGTTGATATGAGTTTTCACAGACTTCGCGTCGCCTAAAAGACTCGGTCAACAACAATTTTCCGATAACTATAAACCAAAGAAATATACATGTTCCCTCTTGCATAACAGAAAATATTGTAGTTTGTAATTACATCCAACAGAAGAAAATGTCTTAGGAGGACATTCCTCCCTTGCCTCCCCTTAGAAATCACCACTGTAAGATTCTTTTGAATGATGAACATAAACAAGAAAGAAACGAAGGCATTGTATTACTATTGTGAAATAAAACTCCTTTAAAATGTTTAGAAATGTTAAACTTGAAAACATTTACACAATTTTCAAAGCATCAATGAAGAGTCTCCATTCTTGTGCTTTATATATAAAAAATGTCTTTTCGTTAATGCTACATCATCACCACAGTATGTCAGTGTCCCATCAACAACAAAGAATTTGACATGCTTCTCTTTCCAATGTCTGTAAAAAGTTACATGTATAACAAGCTCAAGGAGATCCCTTTCTAGCAAACTGAATCCAGTGCTTCTGCCTTCCTTTGCTTAATGCTGGCTCATGCACTAAATTATTCAGATCAGGCAACGGTAATAAATGGTGATTTGAAAATGGTTGCGGTTCTTTGTTCTTCCTGTGCAAGATTGTACATCTTCATGAGAAACTGTGTCAGATGTTAATGTTCTTGCAGACACTGGAATATTCGGACTGTGAGGTATGGGCCACATTGCAGAAGACAAATTGGTACATTTATTTATTTATTTATTTATTTATTTATTTATTTATTTATTTATTTATTCATCTTCAGACCACACTTCAGAAATCTTCAGACCACATTTTTTAATATTCAGGCGCGATAGAGTAGATCGCATTGGTGGGGGAGTTTTTATATGTATTACAGACAACTTCGAAGCAGTAGAGGCATGTGTGGACGACAAATTTGAAATCATAGGTATTGACATTCGAGATAGGAATTCAAAAAATCAGTGGAACGAGCCGTTACAAAGACTTATAGAAAGAACCCGTGTAATCAGGAAAAGTGGAAAAATGTCATTATTGGAGGAGACTTAAATTTACCGCATGTTAGCTGGGAGGGGGATGTGGGTGGCTGAAGGCGCTCGCTCACGCCTCATTAACGAACTGTGTCTTCTTGTAAGGAATATGGTTATACTATCAGGTAGTAAACAAGACCGGACCCGGCGATAATGGCTTTACTGGAGTGGACGTTTTCCTTATTAGACCGGCAGACCAATTTCTTGCCTGCGTGGTAATTCTGGAATTAGCGGATCACAAAGGGAGTCTGCTCCCTAAAAATGCACGAGAGGTTTAAACGAAATGATTCTTGTAAAAGAAAGAGAATATTTTTTCTAGTATTGTCTCGAAACAAAGAGTACACATATGCAAATTATACTGAAAGCAATTTTCCGGCTTTGGCTTCTAGAGACTGTACAGTTGAACAGATCCGGTCAAATTTTAAGAACATTATTTCTGAATGCTTAGCAAAATTCCGTGCCTACCAGGAAACTCGGGGCCCATTCGATCCTGTGTATTATAACAAAGAAGTGAGGCGACTGAAAAGGGCAGGTTTAGGAAAGCGTATAGTAAACGTAATATAAATAAGGATGGCAGAAAATACATTTTCTACAATTATCCAAGACCTATTAGGCATTAAAAGTTACATACCCAAGAAAATTACCTAAAATCAATTTCTAAGCGACGATTGACCTGTTGGCACAAATTTCTTCAAGTACTGTGAGACCTAGAAAGGGAACAAAGAAAGTATTCCAGCGATGCTGCGGAGCAGATGGTTCGTTTAATTACAGATGATAGTCGGAAAAGGCGGCTTGTTTTTAAAGGCAGCATTATTTATCTGTTTTTCAGCCGAAGGATCAAACTTAGTAAGTTGAAGGACAACACCGTATATGAAATCCTTTCGAATCGATGGAGTGGAATTATTGGAGCAAAAACGAATTGCAAAAAATAGGAGAAATAATCAGTAGGTCTGATGGAATACCAGGAGAAATACTAAAACTGAGAGGAAGGGAAGCCATGATTTCCGTACCTTAGTCGCGCTTTCAATGGAGTTACTGTAAATTTGCATGATTCCTCAAGAATTGGAAAGAGGCAGTCGTAGTGCCGATTCAAAAGGGAGGAGACAGAAGGATTGTTAACAATTTACAGGCCTATAAGTTTGAGCATCAGTCGTATGCCAAACAGATGGAACACATAATCGGCGAGTATATTAACGAGGTCAGAGTTTGGAATAAAACTGAATTGGCTATTTCAAAATTCAAATCAGCAGTTTTTTTCGTCCTGGTATTCGTGCGCGACAGCCACCAATTGCTTTTTGTCAGGACATAGCCAGATTCATTAGACGATGGGCAGTAAGGGTCGACGGCAATAATATTAGATTTTTCTAAGGCATTGATCTCGTTCGCAACCATGGCCTTTTAATTTCGCAAAATTGTCAGAAACGGAATAGTATTCAATCGAATATCCCTGTGCGATAAAAGATTTTCTTAGGGGCGCACTCAAACAGTTAGCATAGGAGACAAATATGTCATCGAAAGCGCGATGTACAGCCTTCGGGGGTCCCCAGGGGAGGTGTGTTCAGGGCCTTATGCTATTCATTAGCGTTTATTAATGACATCTGGCACACTGAATTACAAATGCAAATAAGTTAGACTATTCGCGGGACGATTTGCATAATATATTTGAGTATTGCATAATATATGGAGTAATTCGGAACTCGTCTAAGGAACGAAAATGTTTTACAGAGTGATGCTTAACTGTTTAATGCGGAAGCTGGGCGTTGCAGAAATTAAGATGGAATTAAATCCGGAAAGAGTAAATTCATTTGCTTTACAGTCCCGCTCGAAATACGCTCCAGTTTTATGAAATAGGAACTAACGTTATACCACGTGTAAAAACTGGTAAAGTATTTGGGTTTTGGTCCTCCGGCGAAGCGACTTGGTTGGTCGGATCAATATTAAACAATACGGTTAAAAAATCTGGAGAGCGGCTGCAACTTTGTAGATGGCGTATTCTAGAAAAATAGTAGTCCAAATGCCCGAGTCCCTAGCATATACTACACTTGTAGCGCCCAATATTAGAATAGCGAGGGAGCGGCATGCTGGGACACACGTACAGAAAAGGGCAAATCGAAGCGTTAGATAAAATTCAAAACGGGCCTCAAAAGTTTTGTAAATCACGGTGCTGTTTGGTGACGGGGAAACGACAAGAATGGGGTCCTTATCAAAGAGAAAGGGACGGGCGGCGTTTATGCGTAATGTATAAGCATTCAGAGGGGACACAGCATGGGCAGAATATGCGGTAAAAATTTACAGAATTCAGATTTATAAAAAGCAGAAGAGACCATCCTTGGAAAATACGATGGTAAGAAAGCAAAAGAGGACTGCATGTAGGCAAGTTTCCTTTGTGAATCGCACTAATGTAGATGGAGATAAACTACGCTGCAGAAGCCTAGAGGCTCTTTCCTTCCCAATGTAGCCAAATTTAAAAAAATATGCTTCATTGCCAATCTAGAGCATCTCGAAAAATACTGGACCGAGACATTTAGTCTTTATTAATTGGGATTATTATTATTGTTGTGTATTTTTTATTATTATTATTAGTCATAATTATTATCGTCAATTGGCCCTTATATCTCAGTGAAAGTGATGTGAAGTGTAGTGTAGTGTAGGTGGGGGAAGGGGAGTGTAGGGGAGGCAGTGCAGTGTAGTGAGTGTAGAAGTGTTATGTAAACTAGAGTGAATTTAGAGTTAGCTAGAAATTAAATTGGAAACTATTATATCGACCGCCCTAATTCTAATAGTAAACCCATTGTAATTGTTTAAAATGTTTAGTAATTCTAATTTTAAATTGTTATCATGTTTTTGCCAACCGAGCATTAGCTCAAAGCGAACTTTAATAAATCTATCTATCTATCTATCTATTTATTTAGTCGAGAAACGGTAGAAACTGTGTGACGTTTGGGGAAGAAAATCAACTGCACACGTTTTCTTGAGTTACAGACCACTTCCCAACATTTGAACTATACATAGTTGAATGTCCTTTCGTGCCAGTACCATATAAATAATGTCCTTTCGTGCCAGTACGTCATAAGAAGGTAATTTCGATATCCAGATGTTATGGTCAGTAACATCAAAAGCTTTCGAAATATCTAAAAATATTCCAATGGGTGCATCATTTTGGTCTATTGGTGAAGCAACACCTTTAAGAAAAGAAGAAAAAAATGCAGTTTCCGTAGATTTTGATTTTCTAAAACCGCGTTGTAAGTCTGAAAACGCGTCGTTTTTCATAAGAAAAGTTTCCTTTCACGTATAGAAAAGCCACTCTGATATTTTTGAGAAAACTAACAAAAGATAAACTGGCTAGTAATTTTGTATTGACATGTGATGCGGCTTTAGAATTTCTGTTATTGGAACCCTTCATATTAGTTAATCAAAAGCGACAGTTAATCACTTGATCTCTGCTTTCCCTCCATATCATAGGCAAGCTAAATGCCATTGCTTTTCCATCTGTTCACTTATTTTATATAAGTTGCGTAACACAAACGAACTTAACGATTTATCCTTGTTCCCAAAATGTTTGAATGCTCTTTTTATTGGATTTGATATGTTTCTTTCCTAAGTAAACTCCCCACAGATGTCAGAAATTTTGTGCTTCGCCACATTTTCGAGGCATCATTGTTTGAGAAGCATGAACAGTACCGTAACCCGTTCGGGCCCGCAATGCCAGCGGGCCCAGGTAAAAAAGGGCTTATTTTTACGGGGTATTTTAATTAAGTTACTAACACTACTTGGGTTTGCTCTACATTTTCATAAAGGGGATCCGGATACAAGTTTTGCAGGCGGGCGGGCGGATTGACTCACACTCATCTAAATTTTTGCTGTCATTACAAATATAAAAAAGTTGTATTTCACAACTGAGTCCCACGTTTCCTTAGTGGAAACAATACAAAGCCGAGAACGCAACCGCTACCGTTCTCGTCCCGTAGATGCACATCGATATTAAAATCAATTAAGAAACTGAACATAACAGCCAACCTTTCACACTAAAATGAGGTATAATCGTCATATAATGTGTGAATAAATATCCCTTGGTTTCTGGCTGCGTAGTGAAATAACCACTTTAAGACTTCTCTCTATCTCTCAAAAACATTCCTGATAGAAAGTTTGGATTTCAAATTTGAATTCAGCACCCTACAACACTTCAGAATTGCGCTAGTTATTCACAAAATTAGTGGTGCTACTGAATGGCTCAGACTTTCCCGTATTATTTTGGTTTCCTTTGGTCTCGGCTAGCTATACGAACTTGCCACATACTCTTTGTCAGCTGCCCAAAGTACGTCGCCCAATCTATCCACCGCCTTTATCGCCGCCCAAAGTACGTCCTTAAAAAAAAAAAAATTAATTTTTCGGAACGGAATTATTATTTTAAGAATATGAAAGAACCGTAAAACCTCGTCCGAAATGGGAATTTACTTTAAAACATTTGGAACCGTTAAAAAAATGGCGCTTAAACGCTACTGTAAATTCGAAATTTGAACTCTTTTTCACCGAAAATGTTTGAGTTTTCGAAGACAAGTCTTCATTGGAAGTCATTTGAAACACTTGAACACACAAATACAATAGTGTTTACAAATTACAGGAAATGTGCATATTGCGTGAGAGATCTTTAAAAAATTACATTTGTGTAATTAAAAAACAAAAAAACAAAATGCACTTAACTTAATATTAAATAGTGCAATTAGCACTATACCTATCAAATGTTTCAAGAAAAAATGTGGAGCTGTTTTTGAGGAAATATTGTTTTTGTAAAATTCTAACTTTTGAAATTTTCAAAAATTCAGAGTTAAACCTGAAAATTGGACATATGCCACCTTTGTAAGTGTATTTTATTCTTCTTTCAAAAAATTTAGAGAGAAAAATTGGAACAGTTTTTGAGAAATTTTTGAAAATCTTCCGGGAGCTTCATGTAAAGAACCCCCAATTGTAAAAATGTTTTTCAAAATCTCAAAGCTTCAACTCGATCCTGACGGACAACCTTTCTTCATTTTGGAAAAATCGCACGAGTAATTTAGGCGCTAGTAGAGTGTAGGTGTTGTGGTATAGGTGTTGTGGTAGGATATCTAGTAGCTAGTAGAGTGCACAGACGGACGGTCGTTTTGGAAAAAAAAGAAAGAAAAAAAACGGTTATTCGGTATGAGGGGATCCCAAACGTGTATTGCCGTTGAAATCTCGAAATCGATTTTTTCCAGCATTACATAGCTTTCCCTATACTACGTGTATTACTCCGTATATACTTGTACGTACGCATACGGGAAAGTAACTAGTGTTGTGAAGACAGCACGTATTTCCACGCAAAATTACGCGGAAAGTACGTAAATTTTTGAAAAATTGTACATGACCTTATTTCAAAATCTATCTTTGAGGAATTGATTTGATTAAGCGAAAAACACAATATTTTTAATATTTTAATTGTCAAAAGACACGAAAAAATTCAACGCGTGCAAGTTTCGAAAATTTGGGGTTTTGAACGAACATAAGACTTGCACGTTTGTCTTAAACGTTCTTCACACTATCCACATCAAAATTTAATAAAAAAACAATGGAGCCTTTTTAGCGGAGTTGTCCTATGTGCTTCGTATGAAGTATTCCCCTAAAATTAAAATATCGTTCAAATGCAAAGGGCCGTGACATCAGCCAGATCGAATGTGGAATATCAATTTTGGAGATAATCGGCTGAATGGCTTAGGCGTTAGCGTTGTGCACGAACGGACGAGCAGACCGACGTTTTGCCCTCGTTCAATTTTTCGGTATCATTTACCCACAACACATTGATTCTGGGTACGCCACGTGATAAGTTTTTTTTCTTCTAAATTTCGCAAGTGGATTTATCCACTTTTTACCAAGGCCATGTAAGTTGTTTTTTCTGCCGAAATTTGCCGTTTTTTGCGCAGTTTACATAACTTTCTCTCTATAGTAAAAATAATTTAAAGAAAGTAAAAGTGCACGTTGCACAGTGTAATTAAAAGAAGTGATTTCCAACATTTCGTTGTCATACAATGTGTTGTTCGAAGAAAGAAAAGTGATAAGTAGTGTGAAGTGATAAGAGAGGGAAAGCAAATGTTTGTGAAAATTTCCAATATGTTTCTATTGCAATTGCTTGTTTTTGTGCATATGCAGGAATAAGTTTTCTTAGAAACGTACATTCAAAAGTTTCAATTTAAAAAAAGATTGTAAAGAGTTTCCCTGCTGAGCGACGGGTTTCCCTGCAGGGCGACGTGAAAAACTTTGTTCATTTTATTGTGCTGGCGTCATCACCGCTTTTTGTTATACCCAAAATGATTCATCGTTAGCTTCTCTCTTGCCAATTGCAATGACTTACAACAATGAATTTTATTTTATTCATTAGGAACTTCAATGTTTAATATATGTATTTGATAACTTACATTGGAAACTAGTTTCAGTTTTTCATGTTTTCATAGGTTGGAATGCAATATCAAGCTCCAAGAAAGGAAGAACCTGTTGTGTTTGAATCTGCCTGGGAACGCGGTCTTCGACAAGCAAAAGAAGTAAGTACAATTTATTTATTTTGGACTTCAGAATTTTATAGTAACACCCATTTCCTCATAATTTTTGCCAATCTCATCTCTTGTAGCGCAAAAATATGTTTTTGTTATATTTCTAATAAAACAGAATTGTTTTAATGGTAATAACGAGGGAACAGATTTATACGGACTAAAATACATGAAATATGTAATATATATGTATGTATATAATGTATATATATATGTATATAATGTGTATATATATATATATATATATAAAATATTATTTGTATCAAAATATGGACTTAGAATGATTAAAAATCACTATGGTAAAATTACATTTTATTTTCAGTTGATAAACTTTCATCTTTAAATTCTGAAATGTAACTTCTAATGTAACTTGCACTGGTTGATTGTTGCACTGGTTTCGACATTTTACACTTTTAGGTTTGATAGACAGATTATGAGAACTGAACCAACACATAGTATTTTGACTGGATTGTAAGAAAAGAAGGAGCTGTATAAGTTAGTTCTGATGTCCATTTCATGCAACTTCCCGGTTGGCAACCTCAGAGCGAAGGGGAAAGGTAATTTGGATGCTGAAACGAGATGTGTTTCTTTCAGACCATCGAGGTCTCAAGGTCATCTGTCAAACCAATCCAATAGTTCATTGCCTCCTCATGCCCATCTTCGCCTCACGGCACACTCAGACCCCTTAGACAGGTCCTCACGACGGGAGAGTGGATTTATACTTCACATAAACGAAAACATTAACAGTTTGTGACTTCTTGACTGTCCGGGTGACACCGCATCATTGGCTGAGAGGCCGATGTTTTGCCTGTGATGTTGCAGCCTCAGGACTGCCAATAGCAGTGGCAATAAGGAAGCCTACGACGTGACAGGCGAAACGTCGGTCTCTCTTCCAACGATGCAGCATCACCTGTACAGCCAAGAAGTCATGAACTCAAGCCGCGGAAGCTTGTGTGTCCATTAACAGTTTCTTAACTTGCTTTCCCATTGTCAATTCTCCCTAATTTTCTAATGTTTAAGGAATAACTGAACATTTTTAAGCTCTTTTTGTTGAGATGCATTTTTTTATATTCAATGAAATTTCACTGTTAAGCTTCATATGCTATATTACTGATTTTATAAGAAATATTGAAAATATGTGGACTTTCAAATATGTAGCAAACCCCAAAATAAGGAAAATAAAAGTAGCATTTTTAAACTCTACACATTGTGAAACAAAAATATTACAAATTATTATCAATATTAGTTTAGTTAGTAAATACGTTTTTTACATAGAAATGTGTTCCCTGGTAATAATCAATACCCTCAGAACAATGTAAGTGAATATGAGAGGATGAAGAGATTTGAGGCAAAAGTTATTTAGAATGGTGTCACTTTCCTTTCAATCTTTAATAGGAACTATGAACATTTTAGTTGAAGCTGCTGGCACAGAGCTCTGCCATTCCTTGGATTAGTCCTTTGAGTCAAACGACTTTTCAAGCGGAAATACTAGTGATTGTGGCCATAAACGTAATTGATAATATTTTGATTGTATAATGTAAGGATGTTCTTAACACTCTTTTGGTTCAAACCCCCAGTTCAGAACCCAACATGCCACAAACTTGCAGGAAAACATTGAAGCATCAGATGGAATTCAAAACTGCGTCCCTATCGTCTGTCGGATGTGTAATATGTGATGCGTGATGTAATTCATTTACTGGTTCAAGGTGATAAGTCTGTCTCCATTGTGAATTTTATAATTTTAAAAAATGTCACCGAGGCCTCTTTCTAGATAATCCAGAAAAATCAGGGAATTTGTAGAGAAATTGTTAGAAGTCAGGAATAAATTTGAGAGGGTTATGAAACTTATTCCTTGAAAACATTAGTATAGCTATTTTTTGCTTGATATTTATTTGGTGAGGAAATATTGTAAATTTTTACTTTGGCATGGCGAAATGAGTGTGCTGACCTATTAGTATCATAGTAGATTTAATATTTTCTTTTTGTAGTATGAAATTACAAATCGTATCAGGAAAGAAAGAAAAAAATGCAATGTGTTACCCTAAATGTGGATAGTTTTAATTTTTGTTTGTTTGCAGATGATGCGAAAATCAAGTAAGAGAAAAGAAACTGATATGGATTTTGAAGAGAAAAAGATGAATCTCAGTCTTGGGCAAGAGGAACTAGACAAAGAAAATGACTATTATACAAGACCAGCCAGTCCTGTGTACAAAGAAGATGAGAGATGGGGGTAAGCAATAATTTAAATTTCTTTAATTTATTATTTTTTTAAATTTAAAAAAAGAATAAAATGGAAATATAACTAGAATGTGCTAGTTTTGATGTATGTCAATAAAATGCTAATCTTGAGCATTTAGTACATGATGGTACCAGGTTTGTGTCCTATATTATGCATTGTACATTTCACGTATAAATTACATCAACACTAGTAAGACAATATGGGATTTGTTTTCCACTTCTATGTGATATCTCTTGTAATTGTCACAATCCAGGTATTTAATCATTCAATGATCTTTGACTTCATTATAAAGAACAGATGTGTATCTTTCAGAATGAAAATAGATTCTGATCGTTATAGAGAAGAATCAGTTGCTTTGGAACATTATGATGACTTGCCAGAGTCTCCTTACTACCATCATTCCCGAGGAAGTGGAAGTGACTATTGGAGGCGTGTCCACTATGAACCAGGAGATTCTAGAGCCCTGAGGGTAGAAGCAGAGTACAGTAGCCGTGACAGAAGTACAAATAAATATCACTCACAGCATCAACATAGACAGCCTCCTCAAGAATTTTATGACAAATATGAAAAAAAATCCAGCCGTCAAAAATCTCATCCAACAAGAGAAGTTATAGTGGAACGAATTGAGAAACCTTGGAGAGATGAGAGGTAAATATACTTTATTATCTTATCAGTTTAGTAGCAATAGAGGTGGTTAGGTGGATATGTGTACTAGACTGATAAGTGGCTTCAATACCCTGCATTTAATGAGATTTACTTACATATTGTGCATGCACACAATCTGAAATTGGGACAGTCGGTTAGCCAAATTTTTCCTGGCACCTCTTGTGATGTAGCCTACAAAAGCATGAATTAAAACAACTGCCCTTCACTGAGCAATAGGCAAGATTCTTGTAGCAAGTTGCAGCTGCAAATGCTAATACTAGGCTAATTGGCCTTTTTAACTAGGAGTTCCATACCTACCAGCGTTTCCCTTAAGGTGCTGTTGCTACTTAAAAATGAATATCTGTGCCAAAGGGTATTGTTGTAATGTAAAACAAAAAAACAAATGTATCAATTAAGTCTTCCCCTGTTTGTAATGAATTGTCATTTGAGTACTAAATTTTATAATAGGGAGTTTTAGCACCAGGCGTAAGGAGACATCCTTAAACTCTATTTATCACATGACTAACAACGTTATACGGTCATAACAAACAACATTCAGAAGAGTTTTAGCAATAGCGACATTGCGTTATGCATCATAACAAAAGAAGCACTTAAGCGTTGAACAAAGAAGTTCTATAATATATCAAAGAGTTTAAGCTAGTGGTGAGACATTTGAACTACGATGAGAGCCAAAAGTACAACAAATCTACATTGTGTACAGAGTTTTAGATTTTTTGGCCCTCCGCAATGAGAATGAAGTTCAGAATTTGAATCAGCGTTGGTTATTAGCATAAGACATAATCTAACCTGAAGGTATTTAAACTTCTTTTTTTGAATTTGAATTTCATATCGTCACCTTTCTAAACATTTTCCATTTATTCTTGCCAAAGTTGTGGAGTTGGTAAGAAAATTGGTTTATCAGAGCGTGAAAATTGGGAAGGGGAGCGTGGAACGTGAAAATTGGTTTATCAGAGTTGTAGAGTTGGAAAAATGTTTCCTAATGGTCCTGTTTTTGAGGCAGCCATTTTGCTGCTTGGAAGGTGACCGTAGAGACTCCTACAGGTGTGCTGTATTTACGATGGTATAAGTTCGTACCTTAGGCCTAAGATAAGACATTATGACTTCAAGGTCCGTCACATGACTGTTATTGCATAACGCTGCTATTTTACATGTGGTGCTAAAACTCCCTAATATGCTACATTTACTTCTTACCTTAAGTCTTACGTACTAATGGTTGTAAATATTCAAATTATAATTTGTAATATAATTCGTTTCAAATTATATGAATCATTGATAAATAGTCTCAAATACTTCAGGTACAGAGTATAAATATTTGTGACCTCTCTTTTGTATTTATTAAATTTATTTTCAGATATAATGAAGTTGCTCTTCCAAATCGTCGTGGGGATGAATGGGCCGATCCTTGGATGCGCTCGAAGTCCCCTGTTGGGAGGAAAAGTGGAAGTCGCCCATCTCGTCATCAGTCTTACTCATCTGGTTCATCCTACTCATCATCAAGGTACACTTTTTACTTATTTTTAAAATTTTCTTTGTGAGTGAATGTTGGTGACTAGTGGTCTTGTTCATTATATTTTTCTCGTGAGAATGATCATGTTCAGATAGACGTTTTTAACAATTTTTAACATAACTTTCTTGAGTGTGTAAAAAAGCAACCTACGTCTGATAGATTACGGAACATAATGAATTTCAATATGAAGCCAGCAGTACCCATCAAAATATTACATAGTAAGGTTATGGCAAATTTTAAAAGTTTGTGACCATAAAACTGAGAGTTTCCTAACAATACCATTTATACCCAGGGAAAATTGATCTGATCAAGTCATAATTTCAAGAACATACTAATTGAACTGAAATTCCGAACATACCTTTGTTTTGATGTACTTAGGAAGGGGTCATACACAAAATAGAATCTATTCAGAGCGGGTCAAAAGAAATTAAATGTTCTACAAAGTTGGTTGTATTATTTTTTTAGTATGAACAACTCTTATCAAAACACTGTATGGACAAAGAGGAGCATCATTCATTGAATAACACTGGCCGAACTGTGGAGTCAGTCCATCCAGTGGTCTGGCCATGTTATTACAACACCTTTTTGTAAGGATAGAGCACTTCGTACTGCATTAGTTGGGTGTAAGTACTCAATTTTCCCCCAAAGCTTTTGAATTTTCAAAAATTAAACGTTCATAATTTTTCAAACACCTTGCGTATTAAGTTACTTAACAATTATATTTTGTACTTTAATTCAGTTGTGAACAGGAAGGTATCAAGTGATCTCATAAGAACTTTTTCAAAATCTCAAAAAGTCTTAATATAGGGATTCCTTCCTTTTTGTATACATAATAAACAACTTATACCTTTATGGGAGCATGACATTGAATGGTAAGGGCAAAACCTGTTCTTTTCAAGACCAGTGTGGGAATTCTTGGAGGGCTAAGTTTTTTCTCTAGATTTTTGCTTGAACAGATGAACTGTGCTTGTAAATCTAGATGTGTCCAGTATACATTAAAACCTAAAGAATATTTCGAAAATTGTAACTTCGTATCTCCTGCTCTATTTTTTACTCAACATCTTTCAAGAAGTTTCTGAAGAACTGGGATACAATTCACAATGTTATATATGGTTACTAATAATATTAGAAGGAATGAGCTATTGTAACTCAATTTGTTTAATATTTTAACTAAGTGTGGATGAAATGTCAATGTGAGTGTTGCAGAAATATTAATAATGTAGCAGTCATGTTCTTTCATAAACCATTTTATTTCCTCCTATTTATCTTAACTCACTATAAAGAAAATATAGTAATCCTGCGGCTCTATATTTAGTGTAATGTGGCAAAAATGAAGATTTTTTTTACAGAGACACTCGTAGTTTGGGGCCCTGAAATCAAAAAGTGGATAAATTTCTTTCCTATATGTAATAAATTACTTTCTCTTACACGTTAGCAGAAGCAATATTTTGTGGGTCATTGATACTGAAAAATTAGTTATTGGCTAAAAGACCATCTATCTGTATTTTTGAAAATTGCAAAAAGTTATCATTGGAAAAACACACACACAAAAAACAAACAAAAAAAAATGAAGGTGACTTTCCCGCAGAGAAATCTGTTCTGCAAAATTAGATTTTTAACTAAGGGTTTTTGAAAATACTACCATATATACTTGAATATTACCTATACACTAATTTTCCGGTAAGGAATCTTGAAAAAAAAATATTTTTTTCTTCAAATTTTTATTTTCTTGTCTTACGAATTCTTTGTAAGAAGAGAAAGTTATGTGTTCATGCGCCAAAAAACGCCGAAATTTCGCCAGAAAAAAACTTATGCAGGGTTCTGGTAACGAAAAGTGGATAAATTCTGTTGCTAAATTTAGGGGGGGGGGAATCCACTCGTGGTTCAGACAGAATCATTTGTTGGTTCTTCTTACCGAAAAAGGGATTAACGGCTTTTTTAATTGCAAAACTTTTGGAAAATTCAATTTTGAAGATAAATATTTTTGCAAAGTTTGTTGTGCAAAGTTAATGTTGCATTTTCTTAATTACTCGGCCCCTAATGCTAGAACTGAAACCACCATACACTAATTACTATTATAGAAATATTAATTGCACGTTGTAACTGGATAGCCGTGTTCGCTAATTGGCGAATAAGGAGTCGGCTCTTTGGAGGGCAAGTTCGCTGGTTCGAGTCTTGGCCTAGAACTATTACTTGTGACAATTCTGTGTTGCTGCAGGAAATAATTTATAATTTCCGAAACTTTAAAATCATTTGAAACAAATCTAATCACAAATACTATTAATCAAGATAAATAAACTGGAATTGTTTGTATGTGATTTTCGAATTTTCAATTTTTCACATTTCTTATTGGATTTGAAAAACACATGAACCATCAATTGTTGTCTTTCAGCGTTTATGACTTATATGGAAGTGCCAATTCTCTGTATTGATGACCAAAGTGGTTAAATGTCGGGTTTGGACTCAGTGCTTCAAAGGGAGAGACCGCTGTTTCGAGACGCTTAAGGATAATTATTTGTCACAACTGTTGCTGCAGAAAACTTTAAAGAATTCAGGATCTACATTGAAAATCATTTGTAGTAATTCTACTCACATATACAATTTATTAAGATTCTAAAGAAACTGGATGTGTCTGTATGTCATTTTTCGAATTTTGACATTTTAAATAAGTTTACTGCTCTCTTGTTAAAATCGTAAAACATATGTCACATCAAATGAAACAGTGCTTGACACCGTCGTGATCATTGAAAGATTCATAACTATTGGGCGGATTTTAATGAAATGTAATTTTTTTCTTTTCACTTTAGAACAATGCTGTTTAAAATGGAAAGTCATTTTATGTTAAGACGAAACAAAATGACCCATTTGTATGTCATTTGTTTTGCATTTTTTACTGATTTTTACTAATAAGTTATTTTTTACCTTCTTATGTCACTTTTAATGCGTTTTTGCTGATTTCATTGATTTTAATATCAGGTTAATGGTACTTGCTCATGTATTGTAATGCCAGCCGTTGTGAGTACTATCTAATGTAATGTTCCTGTGACGGCTTTTGCGTCATTGCCAGTTCGGCCGATTTTGCGATAAATAAAGGCAGAGATTTTCTTTTGAAGAACAGTCCAAACCAAAAGTTTGCAACCTTAGTTCACTTCAACAATAAGAAGACGCCTCGATTACATCAGTGCCCAACAGCTTGAGTTGTTCATCCGAAGGGGTTTTAATTAAATTTTTTATGTAATTTTTCTTTGCTTTTTGTGCATTTTTAAAGCATTTTAAGAGCATTTCTTGATCATTTTTGGCAATGTTTTAGGTCGTCAAAAGCCATCAAGCACCGATTTGTAACTCAAAATTGGATCATTCTCACACTCGATTTCATTCCAGATACCGCTATTACTGCTGCGTCTGTTGAGATAAACCAGAAATCTTTTATTTTTGGTAGAAAACCATTTTAGTTAATGTAAATTTTGTCAACATAACACAATTTAGGTGTGAATTACTAGAGGCTCTGTGAGGTACTTCGCGTGGTGCAAAACTAGGACAATTGTCGGCAAACAAGACTTCCCGCTAGGCAGAATACATAAGACAAAGATAAGCATACACTATGCAGGTTTCATTTTTAAGACTTGAATATTAAGATGACTTATATTTTCTTTCCTTGGTTGTCTTTATCTTCTACATTTTTGGAAGAACAAAAGGCACGATAAGGTATAAACTTCAGAAGTCGGGTTATTGACTTAGGCGAATGTTTTGGTTACGTGAATCTGGAATCTGGAACCAACCATCACCCAAAATTAATAGTTAGATGATTTTTTCTTTGTGCAAAGATGTGTAACCTGGAGCCCCAGATATCTTTTGAGATGAGATGTAAGATCTTTAATTAATTCTAGAGTGAGATATAAAAAAGTAAAACAAAATTTGTCAGACTGATTCATTTTTTATGATTTTGTATACTCAATGCTTTCAAATATGTTTATTAGAATAAAAAAGAATTTTCGTAAACATTTGAAGTCTAAATATAATGTTGCACATTTCATCCTACTAACAAATAACCCGTCGTTACTTCCTCAGAAACTAGTGCTGCTAAACCACACACTCTTTTAATTGCAATTTTCGAAAATCCAGAGAGTTAAATGAAAATGAGACCCGCGCCATTGTTTTAAGCGTCCATGGAAAAAAATTAGAGCGTTTTTTGAGAAAAAGGTTTTTTTTTTATAAAATGCATTAATTTCGAGCACAAATTACGCGAAAACTACTTTTTTCTCAGAAAAATTTTACATGACGTTTTTGAAAGAGCTGATTCTGAAATTTTATCAAATGTTTTCCATAGCCATTTTGTAATTTTGAAATTTTACTTTTTTTGCAATTTTTGAAAACGGAGTGTTCGGCGAAAATGGAACTACCACCGTGTTTTTTACCGTCCTGTTGAGGCTGCGAAATATTGCTTACATGAATTGGGAGAGCAGCACCAGAAACTGCCACGAGAAGTTTTATGTATCGCCTTCTGTTTTTTCATCAGACGACAGAGTTCTGAAAAAAAAACGACCTATAATTGAGAAAGATTATTACTTTGCCGAAAGAATCCATGTGTATGGAAGATGAAGAGATTGTCATGGTTACCTTTGTCTGGGACGAAAATAAAGTTCTTACGAATTTCACATCGTTCATGTTTTCTGCTTTTACGCTCCGCGTCTTAGAGCACTGATTCAAGGAAACTACACAATAATTGTTTGCTGCCAACGTACCACAAACGATCAATGCGCCCCATATGCGTATTGCTTCGCTCCTCGGCACGATCGCTACCATAATGGTCGCGGCTCCTTTGATTTTTAAACAATGCGAGCTCATCGCGTCTGATGTGGAAAAAAATTGGATTGCAGAAAATCTGACAATGGACAACTCGTTCGTCGCGGCCGCCCAGGAGGTGGTGCACTTATTAGTTATTTTTCGAAGCAGTTGAAAATGGATTTCAGAGCTTTGTACAAAAATTAGTA